AATCACATAATTACTACAAAGCTATTCCCATTAAGACAATATCTAAAGTCATGAAGCCAGTGTGGAAGTGGCTCAGGGATAAACAAATAAATTAATGCAAGTGAACTGTGGATTTCATAAAAATCTTCCTGTGTCAGAAGACAGGGGTGAGGAAAGGATCAACTTTTAAAAATATCCTGCTACTTATCCACATGGAAAAATAATGAAACTAGATCCCTACATCATATCATGTATAAAAATAAATTTCAGGTGGATTAAAAACCTAAATGGTACCCTCAATGAATCCCCAACAATAAAAAAAAAAAAAAACTAAATAGAACACAACAATATCAACAAAACAAAAACAAAAAAAATTTGTAACTCCTACACTAAGCTATTGAAGACTATTTTACAAATTCAGGGTTAATTAGAATTCCTTAAATAAGATCCCAAAGAGATAAACTATAAGGCAAAACGTTAATAAATATCACAAAAATATAAATCAAAACCTATATAGACATAAATAAATAAATAGGTGAGGGCAGCAAACCAGGAGAAGAAAACTGCAATGCCTATTACTGAGAAAGGAGTAGCATAAAACGCTTACAAATCAATATGAAAAAAAGACAAAACAACTCAGTTGGAAAATGGGCAAAAATATAAACAGGAATATGCAAAGGAAGAAAAACTGAAGTCTATAAAGTAATAAAATGGTGCTTTACCTTGTCTAACTGCACTAGCTAAAACCCATTGCTCAAAAATTCAAGTTAAACCAACATTGAGATACTATTTCATATTGACCAGACTGGCAAAAATGAAAAAATACTGACAACACTAAAAGTGAAAACAAGAAGCAACATGCTTTAGAATACATTGCTTGTGGGAATGTAAATTGACACAATGATTTGGAAGGACATCGGGCAGTATCTAGTAGAGCTGAAAATGTTCATCTTTGACCCTCTAACTCCCCTCCTGGGTATATCCTCAGGTAGTGTTTTTTAAACTGCAGGTTGTCAACTTTTGGTGGCTCATGAGCAGTATTTTTTCCTAATAAAATAGAACAGGCTACAATGTATCACAAAGTATGTCATTTGTAGTATGGGCAATTATTATTCCATGAAAAATTGTTATTTTGGTTATGTGTGTTTGTTCTGGGTCACAAAGTAAAATGTATCACTGTGTGAGTAGGGCACCAGCCACAAACACCAAAGCTGGAGGGTTCCAGCCCAGCCCGGGTCTCCTAAACAAGAATGACAAATGCACCCAAAAAAGAGCTAGGTATTGTAGTGGGCACCTGTAGTCCCAGCTACTCGGGAGGCTGAGGCAAGAGAATCGCTTAAGCCCAAGAGTTTGAGGTTGCTGTGAGCTGTG